GAATATTTATATTTAAAAATCTATATTTAATTTAAATTTTATAATAACTATAAATAATCATATACAATATGTAGAAACAATATAAAAATAATATTAAAGAAAAACCCATACTCAACATAATTAATTAATTAATTATTTTTAATTCAACCACAGTGCACTTATATTTAATTTTTTAAAATAAATTTGATATAATTTCCATTTCGACATATTTTTATTTCCAAAAGAATAAAAAAAATTACTAAAAAATTAGAATCACTTTTCATTTTATGTTATTAATTTTTCTTCCAATTTAACTATTATAATAATGTCAAAATGAGTGCTTATTTATTATGTTATAATTTAATATCATATAAGCTAATTATATATATTTTATTGCAATTATATAGCATGATAGGGTTAAGATTATTAATATACATATAAATAATTAAAATAAAATTATATATAATTTAAGTAACTCTTTTATAGAACGACATGGTTTAAATTATCAAAATAAATAATTAAAATCATTCTTTAATTTTAAATGACTTTTTTTTCTCTAATTTAATTACTATTTTTAATATTAAAATTAACACTTATTTTATTATCATATATATATATATATATATTAAAACACACTTTCATAATTCAACCAAGCGAAAATTACACTGCATATTCGTAATATTTTTTAAAAAAATAATTTTATACATATGTACACATAGATATACATAGGGGTGTAAATTTGGTCCGGCTCAGCCTGACCTATGTTGGGTCTTGCGAGCTCTCGCAAAAAATCAGGCCTGGTTAGGCCGACCCACGAGCCAAAAAATTAAGCCCAGACCTAGGCTAGGCCAGGGGGTATTCGAGCTATGGGCAAGCCGATGGGCCTGGGTCTGGCCTTTGGCTTTGGCGGACTTGGGTGAGCCTAAATAATGTTTTTATTTTTTTCACTAAAATTTATATTTTCCACTAAAAATAACATCGGGTGTCGAGCGGGTTGGGCTTTGAGTGAGTTTTGAGTGGGTTGATGGGCCGGTCCAGGCGGGCCCACTGGTCGAGCCGGGCTTCAAAATGATAGCCTGGCCTAAATGGGCCGGGCCCATCCCAGGCCGCGGACGGGCTTCGAGCAGCCCACAGGCCATGGACCATTTATTACACTCCTAGATATACATAAATAATTAGGGATTTTTTTTAAGTCCCTAATATTGAGATTTATTACATAAATGACATCCAAAATTTTCACAATGCCTAAGGTCCCTCAACATCGATCTAGAGAAAATTCAATTCAGAGAATTTCTCTAAACTTCTCCAGAGAATTAGTCTAGAAATTTCTCTGGATTTTCAGAGAAATTCTTTGATGATTTTCAAAAGAATTTCTCTAGGTTCAAACTAAAAAATTTCTCTCCCTTCCCAACTACGATGTGCAATACACAAATCGATCACCTAAAAAACAACAACAACAACAACCAATATACATATATCCAGAGAATTCTCTAGACTTCCTAGAGAAATTCTAGGAAGGCCAAAGAAATTCTTTGGATGGAGTCTAGAGATTTTCTTTGGATTTTCAAAGAATTTCTCTGAATTTTCTCCGGATTTCAAGTGAATCATAAAGCATAAAGTTTGTTTGCTTGCCAAGAAACATAGGCAAAAAATAACTTGTTCAATATAAAAACATATTTAAAACACAACATAAAAGTCCAGAGAAATTTGTAATAATTATAATTTTCTTTGGATTGTAATAACAAGCTTTTAATTTTCTCTGGATTCAAATAAAAGTCTAGAGAAATTCACTTTCAAGATCACAAAAACAAAAACACATTACTACAAAAGATAAAAATGCTATTTCTCTTCACTTTACCAAGAAAAAGAGAGAGAAAGTGAGAGAAAATCCATTACCCTTCTATGAAAAAAAAAACATCAAACACTACTGCAAAAACAGTTAAAGATCACACTTTGACAAATAAAAAATACTCATTTTTATTAGAAGTGTGATAAAAAAAAATTAAATTGATATTTTAATCACACTTGATTTGATTGAGTGTGATAATATTGATATTTTTATGTCACTTTTCAATTAAGTGTGATTATATATATATATAATATATATATTTTAATGACACATTCTAATTAACATCTGATTAAAGATCACATAAGAAGAATTAAAAATATTTCACTTTTATTAGAAGTGTGATTAATCACACTTAATTTAATGGGTGAATAATATTTTTTTAATCACATGTTTTAAATAAGTGTGTTTATATGTATTTATTTTAATCACAGTTCCAAGGTGTGATTGCATATAATTTTTCAGTTTTGTTTTTATACATTATAATATAATAAAATGATTTTTGAAAATGTTTAGAGAGATAATTGATTAGAATGCTCAGATCATTTTAAATGAAAAATTAATGGATGAGATCATTTGGCAAAATTATGAGTGGACCAAGATCGCAACTCTTTCCTCGCCATTTCCTTCTTTATGTGTGCAGAAACTCTCTCTCTCTGTCTCTCTCTCTCCCACGTATAGCCTCCACAGCTGTCTCATTCTTTCTCTGACACCCAAACATCTTTCGCTACCGACGCTGCTCCTCCCTTCCATGCAACCCTTCGCAATCCTTCATACTCTCACAACTTCGGGTCTTATCACCATTATTGGCTTGAGAAGAACTACAGATCTAATTTTGTAAGTTTCTGACTTCAAAATTTTAATAGTTCTTCTAGTTTTTGTCTGATGTTCTGAAGCTAATTTTTAAATTTTTTTTTTTATGACACCCTTTCCTTCGTAAAATCGGAACTAGGGCATTTGATTCAACTGTTGTAGTATTCAAAAATCGAAATCCACATATTGAAATATAGAGTTTTGGTTTCAAAACCACCATTGTGGCTAAGGAAAAACTGTTTTGTAAGTTCTAAAGCTAGTTTTTTTAAATTTTTTTTTATGTTTTCTTTGAATTTTTTTCTCATGTTTTGAAGCTACAATACGATT